TCTCTCTCTCTCTCTCTCTCTCTCTCTCTCTCTCTCTCTCTCTCTCTCTCTCTTGAGACGATGAAACTACTAAATATTTACGCGAGACATCGGAGAAGCGGAAGAGGGTTGAGGCAATGAAAGGGAATTAGCACGAACGCGTCAACGATGAAAGAACGACGTGGTGAGAGATAGAGACATACAGAGAGAGAGAGAGAGAGAGAGAGAGAGAGAGAGAGAGACGCTGCTGTCTCCGTAAGCGATTCTATTGTTTACTTAGTACACGCACTCGGGCGATTCCGTCGCGCGACAATTGGCCATTACGAAGAAGTGGACCGAACGTCGCCTCTTCCTCCTCGGGGCGGCGGACAATTTGCCAGCCCAATCAAATTTATTGCCCTCGTCCGTTAGTCGTTAAGATCTTGATCACGAAATGCGCCCCAAGATCAATGACAAGATCGTTCGCGGTCCGACCGATATGAAATATCGACGTATAACAACAGCGAGTGAACGATTGTTCCCGACGACGACGACGCGCGTCAAAGGTCTTGGACGCGAATCCACATCCCAGCTGCTCGAATCGACTTCGAGAGCGATTGTATTCGAAGAGGACATGAGATATCGACGATCCCGAATTTCACTCACGAATATCGGGAAAGAAGAAAGATAAAATTAATTAAACTAAACTGTCTACAACCGGCCAGTGAGACTCACGTTCTAGGCTATTTCAAAAAGAGGAAAAAGAATTAAAATGAAAGGATATGAGAGAGAGAAAGAGATATTAACCTCTTCAGTAATGATTTAAAATAGTCTGCGCGACTCCTCTCAGGGCCATTTTTTTTTAATAAACATATCTAGAAATTTCTTTTCTCGTTATTGCTGTTTCCTGTGGAAAATTTTGAAAAATAGAATATGAAATATGGGTACTGATTTAGTAACTAATTTGTATTCTCTATGAATTAAAATGAATATGCAATGGTTGAAATAAATCAAAAGGAATTTAATATTTTACCGCGGAACTTCCGCGAGCGTATTATTCGAAGATTTAAGCAAGATTTCTATTAAGGAATTACGTGAGATGAAATTAATGTGTCGAGAAGCTGCTCTGCTAATGAAGCTTGACAAACGTTCTAGTCCGAGATTCGTGTTCTTATTAACGTTGAATATACAAAGGAAATTGGAAAAATGTAAACACGCAATATCCGTGAATATCCGGGCAAGAAGAAGCAATGTTAATTAAAATAAATAAAAACGGGCCGCGCATTAGATGAGATCTGAGCCGAGGAATTATGCGCGGTGAAATTAAAATATGTTGCAACGCGGGGTTGCAATTGCTCTGCTAATGAAGCTTGGCAAAGTCCCTGATTCGGATCCTCATCGATTATTGAACGTACACGGGAAATGGAGAAAACGCAAACGCGTAAATTATGGATAGGAAAAAACGTGCAGAAGAGAGAAAGTGAGAGAGCTATCCGTGGCGAGCGGAGAGGCGTCCAAACAGCACTCATAATTAGATATTAATGCGAAAAAAACAGGCAGCTCCTCGTTGCGCACTGTGAACGCGCTTCGCTTTCCCCGATCGCGAATTTATCGGCGTTATTATTTTCTCGCGACACACGACGATCGGCAGCAAGGAGGAGAGAAAGAGAAAGAGAGAGAGTGAGTACTTTTCACGGGTCGCGCGTTCCGCCAATTTCTCGCGAAAGCGCGAACGCTCGAGAGCACGAGAGCGCTCTCGAAACGCGATTGGAAGGGGGCAAAGTGGCCGCTCGAAATACAGATTGCAGCTCATTAGAAGTTAACAAGGGGATTACTGGCCGACGGGATGATAATAGGGTAATTATAGTCCGGACCAAGTGAATTGTTGCAGTTTCGATGAGAGGGAGTGTGGATCCTACGGGCAGTAATCAACGTGCCGTTGAGCCGCTAAGCCGAAGAGACACAGAGTACGAGCGCGAGTACAAGGGGAGTAAAGAAGTGTGAGATAAGAAGAGAGCGGAAAGAACAACCATGACTATTGGACGTTTCCTGCCTCAATGACCATTGTATTAATCATCCTAATAATACTTCACTTTCTCTCTCTGTTCTCCCACCTTTTCTCGCTCTCCTCGCTCAGCTCGTTTCTCTGCTGCAAGAAAAGGCGAAGTTTTTGATGACTGGCCAATGATACATTGTACCAAGTCATACGGAGGAAGAGGAAAAAGAGAAAAGACGAACCACGCGATCGCCATCACGTTGATTCGATCGACTTCTTCGCGAAAAATACTCGGCGCGCGTGATGAACGATTCTCAAACGCATCTTCCCACTTGGTCACTTCAGGTTGTCCACCCCTCTCAGAGCGTTATCCTCGTTTGTCGGTCGCGATAAACGGCAATCTACATCCTTTCCGGCCGGCGGTCACGCTACTTCGACGTGGTTTCGTCGCGCTCGAAAATAACGATGGCGACGACGATAACGACGACGACCGCAACTACTGGACACGTTGAAGGAATTTTTCCTGCCACGAGAGTGATCCTGAGAATTCGCTGTGTCGTCGTGGAGCTCCCGCGCGAAAGTATCTCGAGAAAGCATTTGCGAGTGTCGCGCCTCGGGAACGCGGGTAAATTGAACGATCACGCAACGATGCTGCAATTCAACGTCGCGAAATCTCGGTCGTTGCTGCAATTAGCGGCAATTAGGGACGGAATAGGAACGCTCGAGGGAGAGATTCGTGCAAACGCGCGCTGCTGTCCAAGAGGAACGGGTGTCGCCTCGCGACGTTATGCAACCTAACGTGCAATTGCGAGGCTAAGCTGGCAAGGACGCTCACGTCGTCGCTCGCCGTTCACCGTCTCTCGCATGCCATCGCCAGCGAGTCTGCCGTATCTCTTTTAAGGTCGTGCCCTCCCGTCGTGCCTTCCGAGAGGAGAATTTGCCGCGCACATTGTCACGCACGGAGAAAAAGGAGAACTTGTACCTGGCTATCACAGAAAACGACTTTCTCGTTCGAACGCGCTTCTACGCACGACTTCGAAAGCCACGTGCCCAAGCACGGAGACGAGGACATCGTCGTTTTTTCGCAACCTTCGGGCCCCCCGGGGTTCTCGCCCGTCGAGGATCGTCCTTGAGGTGGCTCATTTTCCGACAGGCGTCCATCACTCGGGTGTTATTAGAATACCAGCACGACGTGTCTCGCAGCTGCTTCTGGATATTAATCGATGATATCACTCGTCGGTTGACGGATCCATCATCTGGTGTTTCTCGCCACCCACTCGCGAGGTATCCTTGAGAGGAAGTTCGGCGTTTCCATGTTTCTGCGATCTATCCTTAGATCGAAGAGAGCGCGTTACCTCGGGAAAGGTAGTCGCCGGCTCAATTTTCCGATCGGGACTCGATGGAACCGCACTTTAACGTTCGCGCCAAGGTAGGCGCACGGATCGATTTATTCGGCGATTTACCGACGGCGCATGCACGCACACACTCTTCTCGCCAACGATCGCTGCTGTGCACCACGCCGTGGAGCACGCTCCGTTGCAGTCGGCCGACCTCGTGGTGATTTTCTCGGTGGGATTCTCTTGTCGCCGTGTTCGAAAGTCGACGGCGGCGCTTTCACGCGACACGATTTCCCGCCGATTTTCCTGCCGTCGCGCGAGATTCGCGAAAAGCGACCGATCCGTCGACGTGTTGCACGCGTATAACGTTCCGTCAGAGTTGCGAGCGCAACCGATGTGGCATTACTGGCGGGTACACATGAAGCGCGACCCTCCTGATCCGTTCCATGGCGAGCAAACAGCTGCCTCGTCTGTCCCCTCCAACGAGAACGATCGCCACGCTGCGTTGTTCCGGTCAGAGAGAGAGAGAGAGAGAGAGAGAGAGAGAGAGAGAGAGAGAAACGGCAAGAACGAGAGAATGAGAGGGATCGCTCAGGTCTTTTGGCAGCGACTTGCCTCACAGAAGCCAACTCGTCTACCACCTCTCCAACTGGGTTAGATAAATGGACAGTCGACGTGACCAAGAGAGCCGCCGGATTAGCGATATTTCCAGAGTCGAAATTTCAGCCCAACTTTGTATCTGAACTTTTCAACATTTGTATATGAAGGATCAGTGTACGTGTAATACCTTTCGAGACTGAAATCCTACTTGGCGCCTCTAAATGGCAGAAAACGCACAAAAACGCCAGTTGTAAATCCTAAAGAGGACTTCTCGGCAAAGCTGGTAGGTTAAATGAAATCAAAAAAGGTTAATATAGATTTCAAAGTATCAAAATAGATGTTGAATGGTATATTGAAGTCGAAAGTAGGATTAAGGTTTCAACTCGGGTATCGGCTGTTTATCCCGAATCGAAATTTTCGTCCCACTTTAGATCAGAACTTTCTAACATCTGTATATTCTGAGGATCAGCGTACACGTAATACCTTTCGCAACTGAAATCCTACTTTCAGCGCCCCTAAATGGCAGAAAACGCACAAAAACGTCGGTTATAGATCCTGAAGAGGACTTCTCGGTAAAGCTAGGTTATATGGAGCCAAAAGAGGTTAATGTAGGCTTGAAAGTATCAAAATAGATGTTGAATGGAATATTGAGGTCGAAAGTAGGATCAAGATTTCAACCAACTTGGTTATCCCGAGTCGTAATTTTCGCCCTACTTTGGACATGAACTTTCTAACATCTGTACATTCTGAGGATCAGTGTACATGTAACATCTTTCGAAACTGAAATCCTACTTGGCGCTTCTAAATGGCTGGAGATGCACAAGAACGCCACTTGTGGATTCAAAAAAGGATTTCTCAGCAAAGTTAGTAAATTAAGTAGAATCAAAAGAGGTTGATGTAAGCTTCAGAGTATTAGAATAGGCGTTAACACTTTGTCGCATAAGTGTTTCTGTTAAACATATTTTGTTAAAAAAGCAGAGAAAAGTTACATATTTATGTATACACATACAGAGAATCTTAGGAACGTAACGATACCAAATATGTCGTACAAAGCAATTACGAAATACGTGGAGATATAGAAAAATTGCGAGGAAACAGATGTAGCGTAATATGGGACACTGTGCAACGAGGGGTTAAATAAAGTATTGAGGACGAAGGATCAAAATTACGATTTGTCTGTGCCCGCATGAGCGAAGTTGTACGCGTGAGCGAGCGAGCAAGCGAGCATCGAGTCCACTGGTGAAATTATATAATTATCGCGACGCGAATTATATCGGGTTGATTCCCGACGAACGCTCGACGCAATTCATCGTCACGCGCGTAATTCGCTCGATGGACATTGGACGAGTCATTTGTTCGAATGAGGATGACCGCTGATTTTGTTGCTCCAATCAATTTCGCTTCTTTCCGATGCGCAAGCCGTAAAAACACGATCGATCAACATCGAACATTTGATTCTCGTAATTCTCCAAGCGCGCGCGCTAGCGTCAACGTCAATACCGTTTTTCCAGTGTTGATTGTTGGTTTTTCCGAATTTTTCGACTCGATTCCGATTGTCTCTTGATTAATACAGAGGAGAAAGGTCCGAAATAGATCGATCGAACACGCATTATATGGCGCGTGTGGATTTTGGCAATGCTTTACGTGCGTGGCTCCTTCCGTTCTAATTTGACGCGATATTGCTTCATGTTTGGCCAGGTTGACGTCAACGTTTAATTAGAGCGATGAAATTATGTCTGGTGTGTATACTTCGGCTTCTACGCGTTAAATTCTTCTGGCGCAATTTATCGACGTACACTTGAGCCGCGTGTAGGAGAACTTATTGCCGGCTTTCCAAAGTGCACACACACACACACACACACACACACACACACTCACACACGCGCGCGCACATACATAAGCATATAAGGGCGTTGATACATTCAAGTATGTCGGCATGTTCGATCGGGCGAATATCTCATCAAAATTACGACTACGTTCTACGCCGATAACGTAAACGGGACATACACTCACGATAATGACATTAATTATCGCTAAGTAGTTCCAATTTGTCCGAGTATCGCTGAATAATTCGGCGCCTCAATCGACGCACAATACGAACAACCCCAATACGACTGCGACGTCTGTTCAACGGCATCCTCGCCGAAATTTTCCCAGTTCCTAGCAGAGCGAGTCGAACCCGGATTCTCATCACGTTCGTGTGCGCGCGCTCGCTCGCTCGTTCGCGAGCATCCCTTTTCCGTTCGAACCGCATCATCCACCTCCTGTCTTGCGTAATTAAACAGGCAGCCGGATAACGCCTCTACCATCAACTATCACTCCGGAGAGAGTCCTGACGCGCGACCTCAGATTACACGATGGAATCGTGACAGATCGGGCGATACCGACGCACTGGAACTCTATAACAGAGGAGACCACGTCGCTTGAGTTAGACGTAATTTCAAAGATACGCCGTTTTCCCGACGCACATAAAAGTGACATTAAACGTGCACGACCCCATTAGAGACTTCGTCCCTTTCGTTCCTCCCCATCTCGCCATCTCACTCTCTCTCTCTTTCCCTGTCTCTTTCTCTCTCTTTTTCTTTCTTTCCTTTTTTTACTGCCCGATGACGTCGTTTCGTTTTTTTACTGCATTTATTAGCCATATACAGATAAGAAAGGCGGCCGTTTGCATCTTCATGCGGAACTGGCCTCCTGACATTCCACACGCGTCGTCACTTTTCTTGTTTATGCCAGCAAGGATGGTCATAATCCGTGAAGAGGAACGTTTCGAGAGAAAGATCACTCGGGATCATCTCTGCGTGCGTGTGCGCGCGCGCGCGCGTTGTGTGTGCGAAAGGTTGTATTGTTTATTGCGCGAAGTGCTCTCTGGTGCCATCGGAAATGCGACCTCCGTTAGGGACGGCAGGTACATCGTCATCGTCAGGTACATATCTATTAGGTCTCACATTCCCAGTAGGCCACAAGCGCGTCGAACGTTCCTTTGAATGATCGTCAGCCCTCAACCCACCGGAAAGGCCATCTGCCCGAGAGCCAGTTGGGATAGCTGCTAAAGCCGCTTCGTTAACGCTGCGCTCCGCGATTACACAAGGCCCTATTAACGCTTTCTAATCCTAATTCCAGGATTCGACGTTTGCCAGTGTTCGCAAGGTGACAACTGTGTAGCGAAAGTTATTATAGAATGTTGTAACTCAGAAATATAAATCGACTTTCTGCGTTAATCGACTAACCTTTCAGTCTGTATGTGATATTTATACTTCAGAAACAGTGAAATATGCTATTAGAAAATTTGTTGCATTTCCAGCGAAATTCGTTTCTCAGCAGATTAAATCTTACTGACTGTCTGTTCCTGCACTGATACGGTAAAATTGAAAAGAATTTATATGAAAAAGAAAAGGACTAAAATAATTTCTCCGTAAAAATGCTCTCTAAATTGCTTCGAGTAAAATCCCACTGGAAAAATGAAGTGACAGCCGAGTCGTTCCAAGTCGAGTGACTCTTTCCATTCATTGAATTCTTCTACTCTGGATTATTGAATAATACTTCTTTTCGAAAAAGACATTGTGACTTCGCGATTTCGCTGTCGCCTCGAGTGAATTGTTACTCGATTTCAGTGAGATTTCACTCTCAGAAATTTAGAGAGTGCTTCCTCCGTAAGGTTTGGAACGGACTCGGAAGACGTCGATGACGCCGTGTGTATCCAGCGTCGTAAATTTGAACGCCAGTGTTTCGATGATATTTTTAGCTTCTCTCCTCTAGGTGAAAAGAGAGAATGTTTATATCGAAACGGTCGCAGTTGTAATTAAGCCTATATATTTGCGCCCGGCGTGTAATTAGCGTGCCGGTCCGCAGACAACGGGGCGACCTTCGTGTCGAGTGGAGAAACGCCGAAAAGTTCATCGCGGAGATCGCGAAACGGAACTTCTCGTGGAAGTTGTGCCATTGTTCCGTGAGGAGATTTAATTTCTACCGCCGCGTTGGATGCGATAACAATGCTTCGGTGCGTTCGCATGAAAGGGATCGTAACGAGACGAACCACGAAACACTTTTATTCCGTTCACCACTTAGATGTAAGATGCGGAAGAGTCGCGCAACCTCTGAGATATCGCGATCCTCATTACGCTTCAGAAGAAATAAGCCAACTTTCCTGATTCTTTCCCTTTTGCTTTCTCATACATCGTCTCGACGATGTCACGTAGCCACGCTCATCGACCTGTAACGTTCACCTTGCTGTGATCGCTCATGTTTATTTCATGAAGATAACGTGGCGAAAAACGTGCTGGAGAAGATTGTTTTACCGGAAACGTTCGATTTACGATAATTCGCGGCTCGAGAAATTCTCTCCGCGCTATTACAATCGCACGCTGGCGCATCACGATACCGTTAACGTATCGTATGCGGGATTCGCTCGCATTTACGAGAAAGAGAGACAGAGAGAGAGAGAGAGAGTGCTCGCAGAGTAAAGTTTATTTATACTCTGGGGTTAAAATAATCTTTGAGAGTTTGTAGAAAAGTTCAAGATAAGACGCCAAAGAACTCGACTGCACGAGAGAGGAAACTGTCAGCTAACGGAAATTTCTTCAAAGCGATAAAGTCTACGGCAGCCATATGCACGGGGAGAATTTTACGATAAAAGTTACTGGATAAAGTAGTTACTGGATAAGATAGTTACTGGATTTGTAACCGAGGAACAGAGATCGATATTCTGCAGTAATTGACTTTTCTCTCCTATTTATATGCCAGGAATTGAATTTCTGAAATTTCATTCATATTTCTTACCAGAGATTTGGTTGGTCGACCGACCAAACTGTTCTTTTCCGTAAGAAATCAAGGGAAGCACTTGATCGTACGTAGAAACAGAGGGAGAAATCGTGATGATACACAGATGCACAAGGGACTACGTGCGCGCACATTTATCGCCAATGAAGAAGGTCCACGCGAAAGGGGGGGAGTATAAAATGCCCCGTAAAATCCGTCGTGAGGGAGTATTAATGAAAAATTCATCGGTTCGTAAAACATAACGGTCGACTGCAGACGTTTGTTAGGGTACGTTCACGGAGCTCGCTGTCAGCGCTATTTAGCGCTATAGACTGTTCGCGGAGCTACAAGATAGCGCTAACAAACGCTACTATGACGTCACTAGTGGTAGCGTTCTACGTCATAACTGCGCGCTACCAACGCTAATTCTTCCGAGGTAGTGCATTGGCAGCGTTAGCGTTCGGTGAGCGAACACTGTCAGTAACATAAATAGTATTAATATGGCGGTCAGATCATTATATACGTAATATCTTAAGCAGTTTACAGATGTAAAAAATAACAACAGCAACAACAGCAACAAACTATGTGGAAATTACTCTGCACGATGCAGAAAGTGGAGAGAAATTTCGTATAACATTGTCACGAGTTGATGCTCTCAAAGCACAAAACGGCAAGTTGTCGTTATGTTATTGTCGTCAAACTTTTTTTATTTGATCACTTCGGTTAATTTGGAATGAATCTGTTAACCATTTTACCTATTATCTGTAATAATGCTGTTTTCAAATTTAAAGTGTCTGCTCTTTACCTTATATTTGCATTCATTTTCTTCTCTTTCTGCTTCACTAAAATGTTACAATTACTTATAGATATGGCTTTTGCAACAAGTTTTGTTAAACGTTGCACAAAAATACACGAGCACTGTTGCATGTTTTGCAACAGTGAGAATCTTATTAATATTTATGGTCCTATTTATATATCAATTGTTTAATATATATATAAAACAATATGAAAATTGACTTGGTTATTTTAGATGCATCTGAGCATACATTCTCATCTGACCTAGTTGTTCCTCAAATAGTACTTATATAGAACAAATAATTTCCATTTCTTCATCGCTTTCAGATGAGGACGAAGTCTCTATTAATTCACGCACTATACATGCCACAGCTGTTAATATATTTTTTTCTGTTTCCTTCTACTTGCGCCATTTCGTTTAACTTGCTCAAATTACAGTAATCACTACTCTAGGTAAGTACATGCTTTCTCTTTAATTTCAGTTGCTAAGTAATTATAGTGCAGCGCTACTTCTGTTCATGGAGCTCACTATCGCGCTATTGGCTCCACGAACACTCTAGTAGCGTTTGCATTGGTAGCGCGATAGCGAGCTCCGTGAACGCATCCTTAGGCGCGCGACTCGCGTCCGGGCTTAATGCGCCATCACAGTCCCATTCGCCGGTAATCCAGTCCGTTTCTGCGCGCTTCACTTCTGTCAGCGTCAATTGCGCGAAATTTCAGGTTGGGAACTTCATTTCACTTCCGAGAACTCGCCCTCCGAGTTGCCGCGGAAGAATCTCCATTTCGGGCGCGAGACTTCGGGCTTCTTTGGCGGGACAGAGCGCTCTCTCGCTTGAAATTCATACGCGCGCCTCCCTCTCGCGCGTCGTGCATCTTTTACACGATCCTGCTACATCGTCACGGCGCGAGTTTGGCATGAGCGCGCGAACGCCCCTGCCTATTCTCTCGTCCGTTAATTATCCGGGCGCCGACACGCTCACACAGAAGGTGCGAGAGGGAAAGGGGAGAAAGTTCGTTGTTGTTGTTGTTGTTGTTGTTGTTTGCTCATCTTCCTTATCGAAAGCGCGTTAAAGTCGGCCGGCGCCTTCCGGCCAACTTCTCGATCCATTATTCCATAAAGAGATTCAAGACACATGTATTTTTCGGGAAAAAAGGAGGAACGGTCGCGCTCGTTTCCTCGGTCTTTCCACTTGAGCAGGAGTCCAAAGAGAATTCGCGCGCGTGAGCGACCCGAAATTGAAAACTCTCCGCTGCTTCGCCGGTGGGAACGAAAATGAAATTTCTTTAATCGTCAAAGCGCATCAATTAGTTAATGCTGTTAGTGCGGCATGTCCCGTGACGCAGAATGTTAACGTAAATAAATACATCACATAAATACACCAAATTCGCGCTTGTATTTTGCATAAACGCACGCGATGCATTGCGCGCGCAAATATTTAGCGTTTTAATTGTCGGCTCCCAAATATTTACATACAGATCCGTCTACGTAACGCGTCGATTATTACTATTACATAATATTGTGTACTCCGCACCCCCGCGCGTGTAGGACAAATCCAAAGATACCGTTAGTCTCGCAATTAATCTGACCAATTAGTCGGGCGGAATTAATTAGTCAAGCGGACGGACTAAAATTCGCGTATTTTCTTTTCCGTGTAACGCAAGCGCAACGTCTCGTTGCCGACGAGTCTGTGATTCAGGAGGACACGACGCGGCTTAGATCTATATTAATAGGCGTCATTTAAAACTCCCTTCAAACGAGATACTCAGATTTGGATCGAGAGGTAGACGAGAGTTTTTTAAAAAAAGAGGGAAGAGGCGTTGCTTGATTCCTTGAACGACTGCGAAGAATCTCAATGCTTAACTGCGAATGTGTTGTATTGCAGTAAATGTAACGTTAGATCTTTTGTATAATTTTTAGCGTTTTGATTTAAGTGAGTAAACTCCTTAAAGGCCGCGCGCGCTCGACCGCGGCGTCACGACGACGGCGTCTGGAGAATCGCTCATCCAGACACATAATCGATCCGAGATGAAGCGTATTGTCCGTCGGCAATGAGACGTAACGGTACATGTTACACGTCCGCGTGATATTAGATGGAAAATATGACGGTATGGCGTGCATGAGAGAGAGAGAGAGAGAGAGAGAGAGAGAGAGAGAGAGAGAATGAGAGAGAGAATGAGAAAGAGAGGAAGAACGTAACGCGGCATGCTGCGGTGATGCGAAACGGATGCACTCTCC